AGTGAGAACAGAGACAAGTTAAGAAGTTCATCATATTAATTAAAAACTCTCCAGGGAATAGGGTGTTTCTCTAACTACACCAGATACAGAATTATCCTATAACCCAGCTGCACCGCACCTGGGACTATCCAGCATACCAGAGAGATACTTATACCTCCATGTTCACTGAGGCCTTAGAAAAGCCAGGCCGGGAATCAGTCTAGATACCCACTCAAAGGCAAGTGGAGAAAGAAAACGAGGCGTGTGTACACAGTGGAGTTTTGGAAGAATTTCATGAAGAATGAAATTATGCCGTTTGCAGGAAAATGAGTGGAACTGGAGAAAGAACCTTGTGCTACGTGAATAACGGTGTGCGAGAGTAGATGCCGCCCGTCGTCTTTACTTAAGCACCAGACTGATGTGTGCATGGCAAGAAGCAGAGGGAGGGCTGTCGAGGTAGGGAAGATCGGAGCTAAAGGGAGCAACAAGAGCACTGGAGATGACAGTGAGCAGAGCGGTGCACAGGAGTGAGAGCGTGTGAGCGGAGTGGTGCACGGGAGTGAGAGCCTGTGAGCGGAGCGGTGCACGGGAGTGAGAGCGTGTGAGCGGAGCGGTGCACGGGACTGAGAACGTGTGAGCGGAGCGGTGCACGGGACTGAGAACGTGTGAGCGGAGCGGTGCACGGGAGTGAGAGCGTGTGAGCGGAGCGGTGCACAGGACTGAGAACGTGTGAGCGGAGCGGTGCACGGGACTGAGAACGTGTGAGCGGAGCGGTGCACGGGAGTGAGAGCGTGTGAGCGGAGCGGTTCACGGGACTGAGAGCGTGTGAGCGAGCGGAGCACAGGAGTGAGAGCGTGTGAGCGGAGCGGAGCGGTGCACAGGACTGAGAACGTGTGAGCGGAGCGGTTCACGGGACTGAGAGCGTGTGAGCGGAGCGGTGCACAGGAGTGAGAACGTGTGGATGAAACCACTATTTTGTATAATGACAAAAAGGGAGATCTCATCAAACTACAGGAGCCCATCACTACCGGGAAATATGATTGCATGTGACAGTGTCCGTGGTAGGGCCGTCCGTCTGTCCCACAGATTCTCCTCCACTGGTCAGTAGACAGGGACCCAGCCAGCCGAGGTTTCTATAGGACATCCACAATCAGCCAGCTTCGTCTTCCCACACGCTCTGTTCTCCAATTATTCTGTCTCCACTAATTTGTGCCTCTCTCCGAGATAATTATCATTTTGTGGAACGTTTTAGCATTGCTCAGCTTTTGCAACTTTTTTTTTTAAGAGACAGGTTTTGCCAGGCACAACAGCACAGACTTATGAGCTCAGCATGTGGGAGGCTAAGACAGGAGGATGGCAATCCCAGAGCATACCAGAGGGCAGAACAAGGGACTCTGGAGGAGGAAGAAAGAAAGAAAAAACTGCTTTACTGAATTGCCCAGGTCGATCTTGAACTCCTGATCTAAAGTCACTCCCCTGCTTCATCCTCCTCTCTTGACAGTCTACAGGGCATGTACTATATGTCCCGGTGTTTTTGAAACTCTTTGTAAAGGATGACATTAGAGTTTATTCCCTGATCTCAATGGAATTGTTAGAGATCAATAACAAGGTCGTTGGAGAATCCTAACTAAATAGTTGGAATTAAAAGAATTAAAAAAAAATAACATTGGTTCAAAAATGTATCAAAAGGCGAGTTGGAAGAGGTTGATGGTGCACTTCAGCAGCTTACCATGTCTGCACTGGGCTCTGGTTCAAGATCCAGCACCCAGCCCCAAAACTCAATATTTAAATGTCACCAAGTAGCACTTTAAGCGGAATGTGTAAAGTGTACTGCCTGAACTAGAAAAGAGGAACTATCGCAAACCAGCAACCTTGGCGTCCACTTCAAGAGACTAATGAGCAAATTAAGCCCAAAGTGGGCAAAACCAGGAAATAAAAATCAGAAAATAAATTAAAATCAGAAAATGCAGAAAAGAGGATCAAGAAAAGTAAATATTGGTTGCTTGGGAAATTTTCTTTTAAAGATGTTAAATCTCTGCCAGACTTGTTAGGGGGACAGAGGGATGAAGAGTCAGATGGTGGCATGCGCCTGTAGACCCAGTGGCCCCTCTAGAGGCTGGGACTGAAGAAGTGTTAGGACCAGGAGTTTAAGACCAACCTGGGCAACGCAGTGAGACCATATCATCTCCCAAACAAAACACCAGGATTGTGTCAAAAGTTAGGAAACTCAGAAACAAACAGTGTGGTGAGTGCCTGTAATTCCAGCAGGATCTGGAAGGGGGTTCAAGGTCATCCTTAGGTGAACTCAAGGTCAGTCTGGGCAGCAAAAAGAGTGTGTCTGAGTAGGGAGGGAGTCAGGGAGGGAAGGAGGGAGCGAGGGAGGAAAAAACTGAGTAGTACTATGTTCCTTAAAAAACTATTTTGTTTCATGTCTGTGTGTGTTTGTGTATGTGTCTATATGTGCTTATGTGTGTACATGTGTGTGTGTGTTTATGTGTGTGTGTCTGTGTGTGTGTGTGTGTGTGTGTGTGTGAGAGAGAGAGAGAGAGATATTAAAGACCATTTGCAAGAGTCAATTCTTTCCTTCTACCTTGTTGACCTCAGGGATCAAACTCAAGTCATCAGGCTTGGTGACAAGTGCCTTCTCCCTTTGTTTAATAATCACAGAGTGAGAACCATGCCCTCACCAACAACTCCCTACTTGAGAGGTGTCCTTTGAAATCCCTGCTCCTATGCATGGAAGTGGCTGTCCATAACACAACCATCTCACCCACCCCAGAGTCTGTACTTTACACAGGTTTCCATTTTCCCCTAGGCACTGACAGAAAAACCACAACTCTTACCTTGCTAGTTTGGTTTTGGGTTTTGTTTGGTTCTTTCCCCAAGGCAGGGTTTCACTGTATAACCGTGGCTGTCCTGGAACTCAATTTGTAGTCTAGACCAACCTTGAACTCAGAGATCTGCCTGCTCCTGCCTCCCAATTGCTGAGATTAAAGGCATGTACCACCACCACCACCTGCTCTCAATTGTCATCTTAAAGAAATTTATCCTGCAGCCATTTTGAGTGACCACAGCATGGTAACACAGACTTAGGTTACCCAGTTCCATGTTCCAACTCAGAAGCACTGTCACAAGGGTTTTAGAGTTGTCCAGAACTAAGAAAGTCATCCATCAAGGCAACTTTGAAATCCATTAAAGGGCACAGCGGAGGGGCGGGTACAAGGAGATGGAGCTCTTCTGTAGGCCCAAGATGCCATCTAAGGACATTCTTATCTCCTCAATTGCTGGAAGCTAGTTGTCTACTGTATCAGTAGCTTCTGAGAGGTTCTTATTCATTATCTGGTGTTAGTTCAGAGTTGGGCAAGCAAATGCTTTTCTAGAAGCTAAACCTTGTCCAATACAAAGTCATTAACCTCTGACCCTACAGAATTCCAGTCTCACCACAGCATCCTGTCCTTCAGTCTGTGAAGGCACAGAAACTCCTTCCAGGAGTCTGGGTCACAGTCAGACACAGCTGCTCTTCAGGACTTCTCATTCACAAGGGCACACTAGGCAAGAGCTCCATCACTGAACTACACTCTGAACTCTCCACTGGACTTCAGGAGAGAAAGCAAAAAATAGTTGCCCCAGGCACTGTGTTACTTTTCTTGTTGCCTTGATCCCATAACCAAAGTAAAATCAATTTAAAAGCAGGTTTATTCTGGCTCACAGTTCAAGAGTTCATCATTGTGGGGTCCTAACCACATGTGCATAAGACAGATGGTCAAACTGGGAGGGGGGGTTGGGGAAGGGAGAGGGGAGCAGGGTGTCTGAGTGTGCAGAGGCCAGAGGTTGACAAATGTCTTCCTCCACTCATCTCTACCTGATTCTTTGAGGCAGGGTCTCTCACTTGAGCCCAGACCTTGCCGACTTGGCTAGTCGGCTTGCCTCCAGAATCCTGCTTCCCGGATGATACGCCAGCCACCCTGCCCACATTGTGTGGACCTTGGGGATTTGAACTCTAATCCTCATGACCTTCACCCACTGAGCCAGCTCCACAGCCTCGGCAGGCTCACTTTCTCGTTTCTATTCAGTTCAGAATCCCGGCCTCTGAATGGTGCTGAGCTTAGGGTGGGCCTTGTCGCCCAGTCAACCTAACTGAGAAACTCCCCTCACAGACATGCTGAGAGATCTGTCTCCTAGGTGGTCCTAGACCTGCTCAAGTTAACCATCACAGGCGTGCTAGGCCCCACAGAGCTCATCGTCTTGACCTCGGGGATCATTTGAAACAGAAGGTGGAGTCAGTAACAAGAGGCTAAGGCAGTTTGACCAGATCGGCTTGGGAAACGCTGAATCACTGTGAGCACTTAATTGGCCTTAAACCTCAGAATCACTAGCCAAGTAGGATCAACACAGACTGGATTCCACTCAAGAAGGGAGGAGGTCTGATTGCATGCCCACACGTAGACGCGCCTGAAATTTTGTTCGTAGGTTCAGAATCTACTTGGGAGATGATTCACATAGATCTAGACCAATACAGATCTATCTGCATACCCATGTACACTTGGAATAAACCAAAGACGGGCACTGAGGGCTCCTGTATTACACAAAACAGTCCGGTAAACATGAGCCTTCTCTCCCACCTGGGGGCGCACCGAGACCTCCAGACGCGCAGAGCTCGCCCACACCTGTTCAGCTTACTCCCAGGCACTGTTCCCTAAGGTCCCTGAGCAAGCAGCGGGGTGTGTTAAGTAATCTCGGTGCGAGTTCCACAGAAGCAAACATTTGCATTTTGCAGAGAACGATGGGCTCTCGCCCAAGAAAATTACGGAGCTTGTTTTCCTCCTTATGAGGTTTCCCCAAAATAGTTGCTTCAATCCGACTGCCACGAGTCCTGTTGAGCCCTTCCTTTGGGAGCAGCGCTCATCCCAGACCAAGGCTGAATCAGGATCTCTACCCAAGTGGGCAGGCGGGAGGGGGCGGACCCTCCGGGAACAGACCGCTCCTCCTCGGAGGGGAGGGACCGACTTCCCAAGGCCTTGTTCTCCAGCAGTCGCAGCTCCGGGTCCCAGAACCGAGTCCTACGTCACGGTTCTGACCACGCGTGACCCGCTGCCCAGCCGGCCCAGCCGTCAGGTGGTCCGTGTGTCCCTGACATGTCGTCCTGCAGCCGCGTGGCCCTGGTAACCGGGGCTAATAAAGGCATCGGCTTTGCGATCACGCGTGACCTATGTCGCAAATTCTCTGGGGACGTGGTGCTCACGGCGCGGGACGAGGCACGGGGCCGCACTGCTGTGCAGCAGCTGCAGGTGGAGGGCCTGAGCCCACGCTTCCACCAGCTGGACATCGACGACACGCAGAGCATCCGTGCGCTGCGCGACTTTCTGCGCAAGGAGTACGGGGGACTTAACGTGCTGGTCAACAACGCGGGCATCGCCTTTAGAAGTAGGTGTGGGGCTCCAGGAGGAGGTGTCCAGGGTTCTCCGAGGGTGCTGGGCAGCGAGCCTCTGCCATCGGGAAGCTGCGCCAGCCTGCCTGGGTGCGCCCGGCTCGCGCCCTGCGAGGCGGGTTCCCGTGTGCGGTGACTCGCGTGCGAGCCCGCCCAGACGCCCCACTCCACGCCCCACCCGGCTGGCGGCCTGTGCCGGCCTGTGCTCTGCCGGAGGCCCTCCTTAGAACTTTCAGCTACGCCTGTTTGCAAGAAAACTGGCCTCTTGGGAGGGGACCGCGCCTTGCCAAGCTCATCAGCTTTCTGTCCCACGCACGAAGGCTTTTCTCAGAGAAGGGTCTTCCAAAAAACGGTTGGAGCTTTCGCATCGCGTGAAACAAGGGCGCATTCATAGATGCCAGGAGACATCTGCTGAGGACAGGAAATGGGTCGCCCGGACACAATTAGCGCGCGCTGGCACGATAGTGGGTTTCCTACCCGCTCTAATGGAGAGTTTTGAGAGGCTCTAAGTAAAAAGGAAGTGAGCCCTGCTTCCCTCCTCCTGGGGGAACTAGGTTTGTTATTAAACTTGAAAGTGCGGCTTGAAAATCATCATCTTTAAGGGGAAAAAAAATCAAGATCGCTTACTCTAACAAATGCTCAATTAGCAAAATTACCCAGTTGTCATGTGCTGGAACCGAAACAAACAGTCCAGCTTCACTTAGAATGTTGAGAGAGCCGGAGCCTGACATGGGAAAGAGACTATTGTGGACCAGAAATCTCTATCTGGTTAGCCCTGAACACCCATAGGCGCCTTGGATGAGACCCAAGTCATCCTTCCACCACCAGCACTTCCAAACTCAGGGTTAGGGGCCTGTGGGCTTTGGGGAAGAGGGGGAGGGCGAGTTCACCATCCCAGCCACTCTCAGCCTCTGAGAATGGAAGGTTTGGTGACTTACGGCCCTGGAAGCCTCTGCTTCTTAAGTGTGCGCCATGTGTACACAAACCTGAGCAGCAGCCGCCCACACACACAAGCTGAGGTCTTACACCTGCCACACCAGAGCCTGCATCTTTACCCAACCTCCAGGAACCGCTCATGTGTATTCAAGCTTGAGATGGGAAAATCAAAACTGGGTGTTCTTGAGATGCGGCATGAGCCTGGCTGATGAGAAACTTGGGGTGTGGACCAGAAAGTTCTTTCCCTATGATCACAAGAGCTTTAGAATGATCGAGTTCTAGTTTAAAGCTGGGGGGGGGGGGGGGCACACGTGTGTGTGTGTGTGTGTGTGTGTGTAGTTTACATATGTGTGTATCACCACGCTCAACAAGACTGTTCTAAAGTTAGCACGCTTTAGCTGTTGTGTGATGGGATCCAACTTCTCACAAGAGTTTCAGAGGAAAATGTAATTCCTCTTTTTTTTTTTCTTGTGCTTTTCAAAGTGGATGATCCCACGCCCTTCGACATTCAAGCTGAGGTGACACTGAAGACGAACTTTTTTGCCACTAGAAATGTCTGCACTGAGTTACTGCCCATAATGAAACCACATGGTAAGTCTAAAGTAGGACTACTTACTGTCCCTCAGGAAGCAGCCACCGGTCCCTCAAGTACCCAGGGCTGCCATTTGCTTGTGAGGTGGAGGGTAAAACCTGCCTTATTGTATCTAGGTGTCTGGCTCAGTACTTGAGCCTTTTAGCTGTGGTTGTCAGACCTCTCTGGTATTGATCAGTGTTCTTGGGGTCTATGTCATGAGCTCAGCTTCCATCACAGGATGCAGGATGCCTCCAAAAGTTTGTGACAGTCTTAGAGAGTCCTCTCTTCCCCGTCCCCGCAACATGTTGAGGATGGGCCCATTCCTGACTTGTCTGGCATTTTAACATTCCTTCTGTTCCTTTCTTATACAGAACTTAAAAAACATATGAGAAAGGCTTTTTTTTTTAAATGTTGTAAGCTGACTGAGAGAATCCAAAAGAAGTAGTTTTTGTGGGGAAACACCTTACCTCCAGCCCATGAGGGTGCAATATTAATTATTAATTTATTAGTTAATTTACTTCTACTGTTTATTGGGTGTCCACCATTATACCCAGCACTGGAGGGATAACCGGGCCCATCATACATACACAGGAGGACCATTTCATCCACAGCCTGGAGATGAGTTTGGAGATTTTCTAACAAAGACTCTAAAGTGTGAAGTGGCCAATGTGATGGAGAGGGATGCTTCTCTGAGGATTTTCTTTTTCTGAGATTATCTGTGGTTCTGAGGGAAAGCTCTGTGGCTGTTGTTTTATTGGTGGGTTTTTTTTAAAAAAGATTTATTTACTTATTTTATGTATATGTGTGTTCTATCTGTATGTGCATCTGCTCGCCAGAAGAGGCCATCAGATCCTGTTATTGATGGTTGTGAGCCACACCATATGGTTGCTGAGAATTGAACTCAGGACCTCTGGAAGATCAGTCAGTCCTCTTAACCACTGAGCCATCTCTTCCAGCCCCTAGCTATTGTTTTTAAAATGTAATTTTCAGGGTTAGAGAGATAGTTTGGTGATTAAGGGCACTTGTTGCTCTTGCAGAAGACATGGGTTCAGTTCCCGTGTTTCCTTGCATCTACGTAGCTCACAGCCATTGGTAACTCCAGTTCCAGAGGATCCAACACCTTATTCTAACTTCTTTGGGTACAGGGCAAGCACGTGATGCACATACATACATACATACAGGCAAAACATACATACATATAAAATAAATATCTTTAAAAATTCAATTCTCTTAACATTTCGAATGAGAATTAACTCAGGATGTGAGAATTGGGTTTTTTTTCCCTCTATTTTTTTAAAAACAGGATCTAACTCTATAGTGCTGTCTGGCCTTCAATTTGCTGTGTAGACCAGGCTGGCCTTAGACCTCTGATGACTCCTCCTGCATTTGCTTCCTGGATGCTCGGATTCCAGTCACGCATCCCTATACCCAGCTTAGCTGTAAGAAAATTTCAATCTGAAAGTGTGGCAAGAGCTGAGCTTGAATCCCTGCCCACTAACGGCTAACTCCTCCATCATTTCTTCCTGGGATAGGTTCACGGGAAGTCTCCAGACACTGCACACCAGCGATCCCTGAACTAAAAAGGCCGGCTTGGCCTATACCACCTGATCAAATATACTTCATTCTACTGAAATGAGAATTACAGCATCAAGTGTGAGCCAAGCCATTTTGAAAGTTAAAGGAAAGCTCTGGGAGGAATGGGGAGGGACAAGAGCCAGGTGAACCCTGTCTAATCAAGTCTGCAACCTGCTGCCCTGAGGGAACTGTGATTTATAGTGTGCCTAGAATATATGACTTTGCCACACTCTGTTCACTGAGAAATGCAGTACTTACTATTACAGCCTTGTACTTTCTGTTTAGCTTTTAGCACATTACTTTCCAGGAGCCTAGGTCTTGCTTACTTGCCCAAGACAAAAATAGCTTAAGCAACAATTGAGTCACTAGAGGGAGCTACTTGCCTGTTCTTTCTAAAAAAAAAAAAAAAAAAGTGGTAGTTGTTTCTGTATGCATGGAGACAAACACAGACCCACATGCACGAGCATGCGCGCACACACGCATGGTGTGGTGTAGTCCCTCTTAGAGCTGGTTGGACTATCTGGTTAATAGTTCAATAATAACCTTTGATCACCTCCCCCCAGCATCTCCCACACATGTGCCCCCAGATCAAAGAGGACACAGGTAACTTCTCCCTTAATAAGGATTAGAATTTCCTCCAAGGCACCCAGCAGCTCCCACAGTTAGTATTTCTCTCCTGTTTTGCTCTGCTCTGCTCTGCTCTGCTCTGCTCTGCTCTGCTCTCTGCTCTGCTCTCTGCTCTGCTCTCTGTTCTGCTCTCTGCTCTGCTCTCTGCTCTGCTCTCTGCTCTGCTCTCTGCTCTGCTCTCTGCTCTGCTCTCTGCTCTGCTCTGCTTTTTTGAGACAGGGTTTCTCTGTGTAGCCCTGGCTATCCTGGAACTCACTCTGTAGACCAGGCTGGCCTCGAACTTAGAAATCCACCTGCCTCTGCCTCCCAAGTGCTGGGATTAAAGATGTGCGCCACCACTGCCCGGCATCCATCCTTCTCTATATACTTTGGAGACCTGAAACTGCTTAGGCCAAGCTGGCCTTGAACTCACAGCCTCCCAATTGCTGAAATTAAATTATGAACCCTATTGTATCTTTAGTAGCTGTGAATTTTTGCCAATGTGAAAATTAACTCATAGTAACGAATTGGTTCATTATCATGCTACTGGTAACTTAGATTAATGAAATCAGAACCAGGATGGAGAATGGGCCTCTCTCCTGAGTGGATGAGGTTATCACTAAATACACTTCCAGGAGAGGCAGATTCCAGTTTACCAGCTCAGGGATGGAGGTGGCTGCCCACAGCCCTAGCCCACAGTGTGACCTAGGGAATTGAGAGCTTTCATCCTGAAGGAGAAAGGCACTGTCCCTTGGGATGCAGGTGATAAGTAGGTGGATTGTGTGTGTTGAAGGAAGAGGGTTTGTTTTTTTTTTTTATAATACTTCCTAATGATTCTGTCACCTGCCATGGTGGTTTGGCTCTAGAAATAGTAGCAATAGGTGTTCCAGTCTGGTCTCAGAGGGGTATACTTGAGGCTTTTCTGTTATGACAACTGCTTAAAAAGCAAACATGGACACACAACTAAAGGGTATTTGCTCAAGCTAGTCGGAAGTTATAGCTCTGAACAAGGGAAAACGTGGGTAGCTGATACAGGAAGAACTGAGATTTCAATTTGCATAGTGCGTCCCATACTGACTAAGCAAGTTCCTAGGAGGTTGGTCCTGGGCTGCGAGTGGGATGCATCTGCCCCTGTGGGTTTGTTTTGGGGTTTTTTTTTGTTTTTGTTTTTTTTTTTTTTTTTTTTTTTTTTTGGTTTTTTGGTTTTTCGAGACAGGGTTTCTCTGTATAGCCCTGGCTGTTCTGGAACTCACTCTGTATACCAGGCTGGCCTCGAACTCAGAAATCCGCCGGCCTCTGCCTCTCAAGTGCTGGGATTAAAGGCGTGCGCCACCACTGCCCAGCCTCCCTGTGGTAGTTTTAACTGTGAGGCTTGGGTGGCCCCTGGACTCTGAGTATCTGTTTTGTAGCTTTCCTGTGAAAACGTGAAACAGATGTGATCCTGAGGACTCCTCCCTGATTCAGGACTTTAGTTTCCTTTTGGGTGTTCCCCAGCTGCCACAGATCTACAGACCCCATGAGTCCACCATCTTTAAAAGCAAGGCTTCTTAAACTTTTTCCACTCCTGACCGTTTTTACTCTGGGGGAAGTTTAATGCAACACCAGGTATATGAAACTGGTGTATAAACCAACATTTTCTGATCATGAATCATCAAGATGTTTGTTTAAAATAATTCTTTCAGAGCTGGGGATGTAGCTCAGATGTTACAGTGCTTGCCTAGCACACAGGAGGTCCTGGGTTTAATTCCTAGTGATACATAAACTGGATATGACAGCACATGTCTGTACTCCTAAGGTGGAGGCAGGAAGATCCAGCGTTACCCTCAGCTACTCATAGAGAGTTTGAAGCACAACCTGAGCTACATGAGATACTGTAAAAAAAAAAAAAAAAAGGCACATAGAATTTTACCAGTTAAGATTAAGGCAAATTTGCATACTAATGAGATGCATGTGCTTCTTTATTTACATAGAAGTTTAGATCCTGGTTGACTAATTGATGCTGCAAGATGTAGCAAATCTTCAACATTTTCCAAAAATCAATCAATATTGTTATTTTACAACCTTTGGTGCCAAGAACACCTCTTCACATAAATACATGTTACAGAATGTCGGAAGTATGTTAGGGCCATTTCAAATATACTTGGAAATGCTGTCCTAAGCTCAAGCCAAAACTCATTTCATCAATCTTTTGAAACTTAAATCAGAACCTCCAGCAATAGGTTTTAGAATGAAACATTCTAACATAACACAGTCCAAAGATACACTAACCTGATGCTCACAGACTGTGGAATGAAACAGTCTAACATAACACAGTCCAAAGGTACACTAACCTGATGCTCGCAGACTGTGGAATCATGGTAGGAAAATGTCAAAAGACTGATTTTAGCAATTGAATGATTATTTTTCTGTAAGAGCAGAAAAGCTGGTCTGTGCAGTAACAAGCCACTGCAGGTCACCCCACACAAGTTCCAGACTTGAGTAGAAATGTTTTACACAGTGCTTCTCAGCGTTTAGTGGCAAGATGGCCACTAAAGTGCACATGCGCGCTCAGAACCAAGGCTGTCATAAAGTCGCATGACACAACACTGTTGAACACTGCCAGAAAAACCTCAGAATCACTATGCATTTGGTTTTGAATTCATTTTCTGACACTGCACATTTTAAAACTTTTTACTATTATATATATGCAAACATATATACATATATATGTGTATATATATGTATATATGTAATAGAAAAAAGGTTTTTAAATATATATATATGACCCACACAAGTCAGTTACCCAGCTCTGTATAGGGTACAGATCCCATAGCATAAGTAGTTGAGTCATAGAGAATTGTTGTGGAAGGAAAGCCTGGTCAGTGCTAGAGATGTGTTTGTCTCTTTGGAATACAGACAGACAGACAGCACACACACAGATACACACGCACACACACACAGATTGTATGTCTTCTAGATTTGCTTTCTATTTCTTTGTTTATGTATTTATTTATTTAGAGGGGTATGTGTGTTTGTACGCATCATGTGTGGATGTCAGAGGACAAACCACGGGAATTAGTTCTCTCCTTCCACTTTGGAGCGTTAGAATGGAACTCAGGTCATCCGGCTTGGAGGCAAGAGCCTTTGCTTGCAGAGCTGTCTCTGCGGCTCTACCTGTTTTATCAGCAACTAAACCCAAACTACACCGAGGAGACTGGTGCATACCGGACCCTGTGAAATACCCTTTGTAATGGATTTTCCTGGTGTTGTCTGTTGCAGGTAGAGTGGTGAATGTCAGCAGTCTGCAAGGGTTAAAAGCCCTTGAGAACTGTAGTGAAGATCTTCAGGAAAGGTTCCGATGTGACACACTTACCGAGGGGGACCTGGTCGACCTCATGAAAAAGTTTGTGGAGGACACAAAAAATGAAGTCCACGAGAGAGAAGGTTGGCCAGACTCAGCTTACGGAGTGTCCAAGCTGGGGGTGACAGTCCTTACGAGAATCCTAGCCCGGCAGCTGGATGAGAAGAGGAAAGCAGACAGGATTCTGCTGAATGCTTGCTGCCCGGGATGGGTGAAGACCGACATGGCGAGGGACCAGGGCTCCAGGACCGTGGAAGAGGGGGCCGAAACCCCTGTTTACTTGGCCCTCTTGCCTCCGGATGCCACTGAGCCTCATGGCCAGCTAGTCCGTGATAAGGTTGTGCAAACATGGTGAACATCTGCTCTAGGGCTTAACAGTTTGATAAACGTTAGCGGGAGAGATGAATGCGGGCTGGTGTGGTTTGATTCTTTCCCACACGGAGGAGGAAGGTCCGTTCCTATCTGGTGGCTCTACAAGCTCAGTCTGAACAATTCGCTGTGTCCAAACTCTCTTAGCTCATCGTGTTTTCATCTGGGTAATGTGCCTGCTTTGTTTTTCAAATTAAAAAGATTTATTTGTTTTATTTTATGTATTATTTGTTTTTTATTGTGTATATAAGTGCCGTGTGTGTGCGCGTGCATGTGTGTGTATGTGTGTACCATGTGCATTCCGGGTGCCCACAGAGGCCTGAGATAGGTATTAGATCCCTTGGAACTGAAGTTATAGGTGCTTATGAAGCCCCCTGCCAGAACAGCAAGGGCTCCAAACAGCGAGCTTGTCTCTCCTTCCCCTCAGCTTGCCTTTATTTCATTGACTAAATCCAATAGCCATTCAGTCAGGCTGTGGGTCCTACAGTATTAGTGATCTCAGCAAGCTTTTGAGTAGTTTCCACAGGCAAACATCCCCTGTGGCCAGCCTCTAGAGTCCTGCTGCTAGGAGTTGCGGTTATGGGGAGTTGAACACCACACGGAGGAATCACCAAGCATGCCGTTCCACTTAAACACAGACAGGAAATGGAGAAGTCAACTGCCTGGGCTTCCATTTCAACTTCCCCTTCTATCAGGAGCCAATCACAGTTTCACATATGGAGCTGTGCAGCTCAGGAGACCCTTGCCAACTATAACAGGCAGGAAAGCACTACAACCACCTCGAACCCTCCCATACACTGCCCCTCCTCTGGGTCCAGTTGTGTGACAAGTGGGTGACTTGACCTTGCTCTAATGAAAGCAGGACCAATTGAACTGGCTTAGGGCTAGAGCTGTGAACGACCACACCCCAACAGTAGTGCTCATAGGGACAAAACCAGGTAGGCCATAGCCAGAGTGTGTATGTTGGGGCGGGGGAGGGACAGGTCAGCCCTCAAGAGGAGCATTTGAAGAGTGGCCCAAGGACTAGCCCCCTTCTCTTGCCTCAGACAGTTCCCGTGAGCACAAGCATCTAAGATGCTCTCATATGCTTGAAATTCCTCTTTTCCTTAACTAAGTTGAATCTAACTATTGCTGGCAGCTCAGAGGAACTTAAATAATAGAAATGCATTAAAATGTTCCATGATAGGTTGTAGAAAAACTATAATCAGGCCAGGAATCCAAAGCAAAGCAAAATCATGAACTAAAGACTGTTGTTTACCAGACTGTGCCATACTAGTGATTCTCAGCATGGCTCTGTGGAACCAGCACAGTAACTCTTGAACGCTGGTGGCATTGTCATTTTCCTTCTTGTTCTTTCAGTTTTGAGGTTTTTTGTTTTTTGTTTTTGAGGGGTGGACATTGCATTTAAAAAGTAAGTTTCGTCTGGCGGTAGAGGCGTATGCCTTTAATCCCAGCACTTGGGAGGCAGAGGCAGGCGGATTTCTGAGTTTGAAGCCAGCCTGGTCTACAGAGTGAGTTCCAGGACAGCCAGGGCTACACAGAGAAACCCTGTCTCGAAAAACCAAAAAAAAAGTAAGTTTCATGGTGACATCATCACACATGGGTACCATTATATTTCATTCTTTTAAAAATTTTTGTTTTACTTTTTATTATGGATGCATGTCTGTGTGCATGCATGTGCATGCATGCATGTGTGCTTATGTATGCATGTGTGTATGTGTGTGTGTGTGTGTGTGTGTGTTAAAGCCATGTCAGAAGTAAATCACGAATCTGCATGCCACAGATGTGGAGGTCACAGGACAACCATTCAGTAATTGGTTCTCACCACCATGAGTGTCCGGGATCTAACTCAGGTCTTCAGGTTTGTATGAAAAGTGCTTTTAACTTCTGACCCATCTTGCCAACCCAATTTTGGGAGTTTTTTTGAGATAGGGACTCACTCTGTAGCCCAGGCTGGACTAGAACTCATATCAGTCCCCTGCTCCAGCCTCTCATGTTGTGATTTCAGGCATGAGCTACTGTGCCTGCATTCACTCTCATTTTTCAAATGTAGACATAAAATCTCAGCATTGGCTTTTTTGTTTTTGTTTTTTTTTTGTTTTTTTTGTTTTTTTTTGTTTTTTTTTTTTTCCGAGACAAGGTTTCTCTGTGTAGCCCTGGCTATCCTGGAACTCACTCTGTAGACCAGGCTGGCTTCGAACTCAGAAATCCACCTGCCTCTGCCTCCCAAGTGCTGGAATTAAAGGTGTGTGACACCACCGCAGCCTGGCCTCAAATCTCAGCATTGTTAATTAACTTGTCCTGAGTGTACAGGTATCGAGAGTCAAAACATAACCAGGGCTGTCTGAATGAAAAGCCACTGGTGGCTGGGCAGTGGTGGCTCACACCTTTAATCCCAGCACTTGGGAGGCAGAGGCAGGCAGATTTCTGAATTTGAGGCCAGTCTGGTCTACAGAGTGACTTCCAGGACAGCCAGGGCTACATAGAGAAACCCAGCCTTGAAAAACAAAAAAAAAAGAAAAGAAAAGAAAAGAAAAGAAAAGAAAAGCCATTGGTATCTGACCATGGCTATATCCAGTTTCTGCTATAGTTCTAGAAGCTGTGAGGAACTCTGTCAGTGTAAAAATTTAAGGGAGATTTTAGGGGTCTTTGCAACCCTTACATGTAGGCTGTAGAGAGGCAGGCCATGGGAGTTCAGCTCAACACTCAGTAGCTAGTATTGGTTCAAACTTCTGGCATCCGGCCCTTGATAGTTTATTTAAAGTATCTTTAAGCACAGCACAATTTGGTGAACATTATTATTCTGGCGACTATTAGGTTAATTTCATGTGGACAACAAAGTAAAATAAATACAGACCAGATGTGACTACAGCAAAACTGTTGAGTTTTATGAAACTCGGGAGTCTAGTGCAGCGGGAGGGAGCACTTCAGTAGAGTCTGCCAAGGTGCTCCCCCTGAGGAATCAGCCATGTGACAGACCTAATATAAAATATAAAGGTTTATTGGTGGGATGGGGAGGGGACCTGGAAAAGGGGTAGAGGCAGAGAAAGGGGGGAGACAGAGAGGGACAGAAAGAGAGAAAAGAGAGAAAGGGAGAAAGAGGGCAAGAGGTTGGCTGGCTCATGTGGGGACAGGAATGGGGGCAGGGGACGGGGAGAAAAGAAAGAAGCCTTCTTATATGCCTGGCTCCTGGCTTGTACCTGGTGGTTGGAGATGCGAGCTGTTGCTAGGTAACTGTTGGGTACAGCCTAGAGAAATTGCTAACAAAAACTCTCACAAAGTCCATGAAGATAGGTTCTATAGACTGAGAAAAAAATTATAAGGGTCAGAGGGAGGATACAGTGCTGGAGAAGTCTCTATCTACCCAGATAGAGCAAAGGTCTCCAAGTTAGAATGCATGTCTGCTCCAACCTTCTGGGTGGATAACAGGTATTGCAGAGAGACTATCTTGTGTATTGTATGGGTGCATCACCTGTCAATTAAAAAGCCTATGGTGTATGGCTTAGGCAGGAAATGGAAGGTGGGACATCTGGGAGGAGAAAGAATTCTAGGACAGAACCAGAGGGACTGGGAAGATGTGAGAAGAAGGATGCAGGGTACCTGAGCACAGGTAACCAGCCACATGACAGAATGTAGGTTAATAGATAAAATAATAAAATAATTGGGTTATCTAAGTTATGATCTAGTCAGAGAAGAGCCTAGATATGTGGCCAACGTATTTGTAAATGTATTTTGAGTGTGAGTCTTATTTCTGGGAGCATAGGACTGGGAAGATGGATCAGACATTAACTTCAACAAGGTATTGCATCCTTCCCTTGAAGGAACAACCCCGTGTGCTCAACATTCCCCATTCCTGAGGTGCTTATCTGTGAGCATGAAGACTTCCATGCCTCCTACAAGAGACGATGTACCTCATGTAAGTAATTTGTAAGCTATTTCACCGCTATGTCCTCAGATTGGATACATTTCCCACCGAGAAGAGGATGATTTAAACACAGTGTATTTCAAGTGAGTCACATCTGTTAATATTTATTTCTTTGAGGAAGATGGAGCTGCCAGGTTTTCTGGGTCAGTGTTTGTATGGTAACCCTACATAACCCATGCCAGCTTTAGACCTGGCCTTTCGACTTCTCCCTCTGCAGACTTTCAGCAGGAACCATGATGGACTGAAAATCTGCACAGTAACAGTGTGTGGATACAATAACAGTAATAATAATAATAATAATAATAATAATATATGTAATATAACATAATATATAATAATATACAATGTTATATATGATAATAATATATAAAATACTAACAGTGTGTGGATATAATACACATGATAACAAACAGGACAGAGACTTGCTTAAGTGACAAGCAGTCGAAAAGTGCGTCCAGCATCAGTATAGAGCTGCATCTGGCTTCTCTGGAAAGAGGAACATAGGGAGAGGAAGGAATGGATTCTATCTGGAAGACAGATAGCCTAAGGGAGGCCATAGTGGTTACTATCCAGTGATGGGGACTAGGCTCTTAAAGAATCATTGACATCTGTATATCCAAACTCAGTGTGTCCAACTGGCCAGTGTCTAATGGGTGGATTGGCCTGAGCTACAAAATGCAGTAGGTTCTGCTATCTGGTGCTCTCTTTTCTAAGATAGGGTCTCTCTATGTAGCTCTGGATAGCCTAGAACTCACTATGTAGACCAGGCTGACCTCAAACTCACAGAAATCTGTCCATCTCTGCCTCTGCCTTCTGTGTGGATGGGTTCTAATGTGCCCTTAAAAGTCAACAAGAGGGCACTGAAGTTCAGCTTTACTCTGTCCCAGAAAGAATATTGTGTTTGGCCGGGCGGTGGTGGCGCACGCCTTTAATCCCAGCACTTGGGAGGCAGAGGCAGGCGGATTTCTGAGTTCGAGGCCAGCCTGGTCTACAGAGTGAGTTCCAGGACAGCCCGGACTATAAAGAGAAACCCTGTCTCGAAAAACCAAAAAAAAAAAAAAAAAAAAGAATATTGTGTTTGGAGCTCTAAAGTTCAGATGAATGCTAAATTTGAGATTCTTTAATTAGTCTGACTTACCTTGTAAGGAACCTGCATTATTTACAGATGGCTAAGTATGAGGTGTAATAACACAATCTGACCCAAAAAGACACTTTTTAAAATTAATTAGACATGTTTTAAATTAGCTAATTAACTAAGTTCTAGCTATAATAGGAACCGAATACAGAGGATTGCATGTT